GGCAACAAACCTATGCTTGTGGCTCGTCGATGGTGGCAAGTGGCTAAAAATCAGCGTCGCAGTCGTGGTTACCTTCGATTCCAGGTCCATGTAGGTTCGACTCATCTCTCCAGTTTTGGCTTTTATTTATTATTCGGCCTTTTCATGAATTTATACTTATATTGTGCTATTCTGGTTTCAAAGCGATACTTAGAATTTGGCTACAAGAGGACAACTTTCAAATACATAAATGTCTAGTTGATTGCATTCTCAAAGAGCACTATAAGTTTAGGAAGATTCTAGAGAACATTATGGGAACAAGTGGGTTCCAGAGAATGTTATGCACCTTCTACAATCGGGGGGGTGTTTATGCAGCTCTTGATGCCATAACCAAGAAGAAGTATTCTTATTTGGACTCGGATCTTGTACCATTCAGAAAGAAAATGGAAATGACTCCTGAGCTAGTTTCTTGCGAACCTTGATATTTGAAGCTTGAAGCGTCTACATGGCGTGGAGCAAGAGGTACTTTGAATGCCGAATACCACATGGCTGCACCCGAGAGTAGTACTAAGGCGACATAGGGTCCTCTGGTCCTTTTCATTATTTCCTTTGTGCTTTGTTATAACTTAGACTTGCAATAGTACATCTCATACTTAGTCCTTCTGCACTGTTTTCTTTTTCTTGGCAAAAAACTATTGGTGGATGATAATGCTCAATCAAAAGCTGAAGCTGAACAACAAGCTCAAGCCCTTGATGATGATTCATCTATATCAACCATCATTCAGACACATCGAGATCAAGCAACAGATAGTAATAATTAGAGCTCATTTCCAATCATTTTTTTTATCCTTCTCCTTTCTTATAAATAGTGTAATAATAAATTTAAACCTGTAGCTAACCAATTTGTTCATCCATTTTTTTTAAAAAAAAAATTTAATCTCAAAGGCAAGAACCTTAAACTGTCTTAATAAGATCTTGTACATCGACAATTGAATAAAAGAGTAACACCACCCCACTGAGAAGAGCATTTTAAGGAGAAAAAGACAAGATTTGGCAAAGGTTGAAGAAACCTGGCAAAAAACTAACTCGATGATAAAAGGCTGGAGTGATGAGTCCCTGGCCCACACTTTGATGGCCCATACAATCTTGAATGAGAAGACAGTGAAAAAGTTGGACCTGTAGAAGATTCCAAGCATTTTGAACAATAGACATGCCTTCAAGGGAGAGTGGAGGACCTATCGATTGCTATATCTGGGATTGAGGATGAGAAGAAGAGACTCAATATCAGGCTGAGCAAAGCAAAGGAGTTGATAGCTGTCCTCAAGCTTAAGTTCTCGAAGGTCGATGAGCTCAAGGCTAGAGTCACCGACGACACTAGTAAGATTGTGGCATAAGTCAAGGTAAACCACAAATATATTAACAGAAGTCAAAAAGTCAATAGAGAGACATTTTTCTTCAAATTTTATTACACAACATCATTCCCCCTACAGTTTCATAAAAGTAAATTCATAAAAGTCAATGTTAGAATTATTCTATTGATCCAACAAAAAAATGAAGCCCAAGTTCAGGTGCTGCCTTTTCATGTCCTCAACTTGCTTCATCATGGCCTCAACTACATTATTGTACCCTTGTTTAGTTATTCTTCTCTATTGCATCCTCGAGATGTAAAATGACGTTAATTCGTTAGTAAGATACACTATCGAGCATGCGGATGTCGCGTGGATATACTCATCTTTTCAGACTTGAGGTTCGCATCCGAATCAAACTAGATCTCATATCGGACTCGAACCTTTTGTGTCATCTTGTCCTTGAACGTGCCTGTACTCGTGCTCCCGCCTTGTGTCTCGTATGTTTTCTTGAATGACCCATTTCTTCAAGCATGTGGTTGTATTCCTCATTTTCTCAAGGATAACCAAAGACGGGGCTGCACAAGGCCCTTCTTTGCCCTATTTAAAAAAATGGATCAAATGAAAGACACAATCAATAAAGACCTTGTGCAACCCCGTCTTTGGTTATCCCTAAGAAAAGGAGGAATACAACCACAGACTTTGAAGAAATGGGTCATTCGAGAAAACAGACGAGACACAAGGCGGGAGCACGAGCACGAACACGTTCAAGGACAAGATGACACAAAAGGTTCGAGTCCAGTATGAACTCCAGTTTGATTCGGAGGCGAACCTCAAGTTTGAAAAGTTGAGTATATCCACGCAGGATCCCCATGCTCGATCGTGTATCTTGTTATCGAATTAACGTCATTTTGCATCTTGAGGATGCAATAGAGATGAAAGACTAAGGAAGGGTACAATGGTGCAGTTGAGGCCATGATGAAGCAAGTTGAGGGCATGAAGAAGCAGCACCCGAACTTGGGCTTCACTTTTTCGTTGGATCAATAGAATGATTATAGCATTGACTCTTATGAAATTGTAGAGGGGAATGATGTAGGGTAATAAAACTTGAAGAAAAATGTCTCTATATTGACTTTTGTTAATATTTTTGTGGTTTACCTTAACTTATGGCTCAATCTTACTAGTGTAGTCGGTGACTCTAGCCTTGAGCTCATTGACCTTCGAGAACTTGAGCTTGTGGACAACTATCAACTCCTTTGCTTTGCTCAGCCTGATATTGAGTCTCTTCTTTTCATCTTCAATCCCAGATTGCTACAATCCATAGGTCCTCCATTCTCCTTTGAAGGGCATGTCAATTATTCAAAATGCTTGGAATCTTCTGCAGGTCCTCCTTTTTCACTGTCTCCTCATTCAAGATGGTATGGGCCATCAAAGTGTGGGCCAGGGGCTCATCACTCCAGCCTTTTATCATCGAGTTAATTTTTTTCCATGTTTCTTCAACATTTGCCAAATCTTGCTTTTTTCTCCTTAAAATGCTCTTCTGGTGGTGTTACTCTTTTATTCGATTGTCGACGTACAAGATTTTATTAAGGGCCAGTTTAGGTTCTTGCCTTTGAGATTAAATTTTTTTTTAAAAAAATGGACAACAGATTGGTTGGCTACATGTTTAAATTTACTATTACGATATTTATAAGTAAGAAGAATGATGAAAAAAAAATGATTGGAAATGAGCTCTATATGCCTAATTATTACCCTCTGCTGATGTGTCTGAATGATGGTTCATATAGAGGAATCATCATCATGGGCTTGTTGTTCAGCTTTTGGTTGAGGATTATCATCCAACAATAGTTTTTTGCATGGAAAAAGAAAACAGTGCAGAAGAAGAACTCAGTATGGGATGTACTATTGCAAGTCTAAGTTATAACAAAGCACAAATGAAATAATGAAAAGGACCGAAGGACCCTATGTCGCCTTTGTACTACTCTCGGCTGCAGCCATGTGGTATTCGGTATTCAAAGTACCTCCTGCTCCATGCCATTTAGACGCTTCAAGCTTCGACTCAAAACGTGCAAAGACAAGATGCGTACGTGTAAAGATCAGATGCGTTTTGAGGTATTTGTTTGCACGGTCGTGGAGAGGGAGTATGCGTACTCATGTGGATATTGTTGGATCCTGAATTACGTTTGATCCCTGCAGCTGAGATAACAAACTGAGTGATTTGCGTTCGAAAGGGTGTCAATAATTCAATCGTACAAGTTGTATCTTGTGTCAGTTGTCGCCCCTCAACCCTCAGCTTACACGCTCGTACTCGATTAAATGGATGCGTGGTTTAGTGAAAATCACGATCGAGTACAACCCTATTTATCCGTTTTCTCCCTATCAAATTCACTCTTAGGTTTGTCATTTTATTTTGATCTACATGAGCATAATTAACTTTTTCCTCTTATTATTATGTAGCTTAATCATTAATAAATTTTTGTTTTCATCCCGACTTCTCGAACTTGTACTACTTACAAACATTATATCAAGAGTGAGTAAAACCTTATACAACTAAGTTTTCCCTCTTAATTTAGTTTTAAAATCATAATGTGTTTGTTTTTTTTTTTGTTGGAAGCTAATTTACAAAAGGTACATTCTCCCGTGCAATGAGTTCAATAAAGTACGAAATAAGGTTGATCAAATCATGATGATTCTGGAGAGCATTAGTGTGTCTTTCATCGTAGCCATTTTTTATATAGTGCAAAGAATGGCGCCTTGTGCAGTCCTTGAGAAAAGTACGAATACAACCACAAACTCTGAGGAAATGGGTGATTCTAGAAAAAAGACGAGACAGAAGGGCGTGAGCACGAGCACGTTCAAGGACAAGATGACGCAAAGACTCGAGTGGGGTATGAGCTCCAATTCAATTTGAAGGTGGATTTCAAGCTTGAGGAGATGAGTCTATCCACGCTCATGAGGCATCCTCATGCTCGGTAGTGTGTCTTCCAATCCCTTAACGCCATTTTGCATCTGAGGATGCAATAGAGAGAAAGGACTCTAAGGAAGAGTACAATGATGCCGTTGGGGCCATGAGGAAGCAAGTTGAGGCCATGAAGAAGTAACACCCGAACTTGGATTTCAATTTTTTTGTTGAATTAATATAGTGATTCTAAAACATTGACTTTTATGAAACTATAGGGGAATGAAGAATGAAACCTGAAGAAAATTTTAGTGATCTCTACTTCTGTTAATATTTTTGTGGTTCTACCCCCACTTCTGTTCATGTAAAGGGAACCCCTTTGGAATTAGCTTTCTATGGTGTCTTGTTCTCGATGCTCCGATGGCTGTTGAAATTGTAATCTGACTGGTTGTTACTTGACCTTCGTTTGCTCGTTTTCTGTATTGGCTTGTCACTTGACCTTCATTTGCTCTTTATTGGCATGTTACTTGACCTTCGTTTGCTCGTTTTCTGTACTGGCTCGTGGGTTGTTTGGGTTTGGGTCACTGAGCTAAATAAAGTCAGATAGTGTGAGAATCATTTTCACATACAAAGTTCAACTTTTCATTATGGACATTGGTATATTTTTTCCTTGGGAACAGTTTTTAAGAAAAGCGGCCCATTATTTTTTTTTTGCTTTCTTGAGGATGTAAAATATATATTATATATATATATATTTTCCAAAATGGTAGCTAATAAAAAGAGAATGAACTCTAAACGGATAAATTTACTCACTTTTATTTCAATTCAAAATCTAACTTAATCTTAACTCAACTCCACTATCTTTAATATTATTCATATAATTAAATAATATAAATCAATTATTCTTACACATCAAATCAACTTTAATTCACTATTCATCTACTCACATAATTTTAACTACTTACCGTTTTCAATAATTTATCTCTTGCTTTTACATCAAATCAATTTTAATCATTTTATTTTAAATATTATTTTAATACATTCTTAAAATTTCACTTACAACTAATTATACCATATTTTTCAAATTAACTATAATTAACCAAAATAACTCATTTTAAACAAATTATTCCGTAAACAATCAAGCCATTTGAGAACTGACAGCCTAAATTCAAAAATACAAATGAACAATAAAATTCAACAAAATACATAATTCCCGCAGCTAAACACTCCATAATAATAATAATAATAATACTAATAATAATAATAATAATAATAAAGAAAAAAAAAAACAATTACTACTAGAATTAAGAATAATCGTAAAAAAGTCAAAAGAGAACTTTTATGTGCGTCTAATTTCATGCAGGTGATAGGTAAAGTTATCCACAATCGCCAGCTCGCAAGTAAGTAATAGTCAGCTCACATAGATTGAATTGAAAAGAACCAAAAAGCAAAACAAAAATTCCCCTCCGCCGCCGATGGACACCTCCGACGAACTCAACAAGTCATCCTCCGCCCATCCCGAGCCCACCTCCGCCGCAGCCCAACCTCTCCTCTTCAAACCATACCCGCCGCTCGAGCCGCCTATCGCCTCCATCTCCGGTCACGACGAAGAAGACCAAACACAGTACCTTCAGATCTCTTACAATCACGGCCCTCGCGCCGTTAAGGACATACCCTTTCTCCTTCTCTTTTGTCTCCTCGTACTCTGCACCTTCGGATTTGGGATATTCGCCTCTGTCCGCAGAAACCCTCACCGCCGCCAAATATCATCCTTCATCTACAATACGACGTCGACCTCTTGTTCCCTGCTAAAGAGCGATGCCGATTTCCCAGTAAATGCCCCAAGATCGACACTTTTAGCCGACTTGATTGATAATCCACCATTTTCAGACTACCCCACGACCTTAAATTCCATAAATTCGGGTGTCCTGAGGAGCTTGATATGGACTCTAATTATAACCCTGATTTTGAGCGGCCCCTTTGTTTTATCCGTGCTTATGCTGCTCAAACACTACACTAAGCAGATAGTTTACGCCTCGATTCCCTTTTTCTTGATAGTCCCGATCGCCATTAACATTTACTGGTTCGTTGCTTGCACTGTGAGCTCGGCCTGCAGCCACGATTTTCCCCTCGCGTATCGAATATTTGTATTGATCTTCGTGTTCTTGATAATTGGGGTGATTATATGGATTTTCTTAGTCAATTGGCATAGAATTGAGCTGACTGTGAGAATAATCCGCGTGGCCTCTAATGCATTGTCGAAAAATTTAGGGATATTTGGGGTTCTTCCAGTTCTGATTCTTGGATTGTTTGTCTACTGTGTCCCGATTGTTGTGTTTTTGATATTTGCCGATTGGAATGGGAAAATTGTGCCTAGAGAAAAAGATGGTGAGATCGTTTGTGTGTGGAAAAGGGATAGTTGGGTGCCTGCTTATTACGCATTGGCGATTTTAACGATGCTGTGGTCTATGGCTGTTATGGTGGAGGCTCAGGTGTATGTGATTAGTGGGACCATTGCACAATGGTACTTCTCGAAGGATGATGATGAGTCGGGTCCTAAGCATGCGATCAGAAGTTCCTTGAGGTTAAGTCATTAAACTAAATAATCGCACTTTAACGGCATGTAATTTCCATTTTTTTAATATAGACATTCGTAATAAGTACGCCATTATTCTATTTGTATAGTTTCGATCGACTGGTTCGAAGTCAGTGGTGCATTGGGGGGAAAGGAATATTCTTATGATCTTGTTGCTTATGAACTTAATTCTATCATCTAATCGTTGTTGTTGAGTGTTACTGACTTGAACTTTTGACATTTGATATCATTTAACATCTAATATATATACTCCATTTGGACCCTTTTCTTAATGTATAAATACATGTTGGTCAGAGGTAAAAGTACTAGCTTTATGTTTGCGAATTTTTTCCTCTTTGCTGATAATTTTATAGATTGCGTTAAGTTGTGTTATTATCTAGGGAGAATTACAATGCATCACATGACAATTGGACTAATCACAAGATGTTGCAGAAAAAGCCCGTTGAATCTTGGTTTTGTCTTAAATTTTGAATGGTCGTAATATTTTTATTGATTGCGATGATGAAGGCTTATAGCGCGCAAGTGATTTTCGAGCTTCTAACTTATGACTTGTAGCTGAAAAGCTAGAAAAGTGTTTGGTAAAATTAGTTAATAAGCTAGCTGAAATAAAAATTTCAACAGGCTTATTTGAAAAGCTAGAAGCTTATGAAATAAGCTTGAGCTTTATAAAAAAACTCGTCCTACCAAACGAGGCTTCTTTGGATACAAAAAGTTTATAAGCTAACTAAATAAGCTATAAACTGGCTTATGTGGCTACCAAACCTAGTGAATACTTGAGGTTTTTATAATTAACACAAATCTCAGAGATGGTGTTTGTAAGTACTAAGTAGTAATCATATGTTAGTTCACTGAGTTAATATTACAATTTTTCTAATTCATCCTTTTTTCAGAAATGCATTTGGCTCCTCCTCAGGAACAATTTGTCTTTCGGGATTGCTGATTTGTGTGGTTCGCGTGGTTCGATCGGTGGTCGATAGCGCAAGACAGGAAAATGCATCGGGGATTGTGAACTTCATCCTACGGTGCTGTGCGAATGCTCTACTCTCAGCCGTTGATTTCCTGAACAAGTTCACGATCAACTTTGCCGCCATAACTGGGGAGTCCTATTGCAAAGCAGCTAAAATGACTTACGAGCTTTTGAGAAGGAACCTCTTATCGACCGTGTTCGTGGAGACTGTGTCGACTCGAATATTGGCGGGGATCGTGCTTGTTTTGTCGGCAATTTATGCGATTGTGGTAACTGATTACTAACTACAAATCCTAATATTTATTTCAGTCTTGAATTATTTTAGTTCATGTGGAGTTGATATTCATATAACCGAACAAACTGAGATATAGCTCGTGATTTCTATTATCTTATGCATAATTGCCAAAGGAATCCGGAGAATTTCAAAGTTTTATCGTCTACTTTTCTCCTTTATAAGCTTAAAAGTTAAAAGCATTTTGAATATTTTCCTCACACTAATTTCTGCATCACAAAGTATTACTAGTATTTGTGCTATATATCCTTAAATTGAAAAATTCATACTCAAGCTTTACTTAGTAATAGAAAAATTCGAACTTTTTGGGTTCTTTAGGTGATGCTGTAACTGTTCTATGTCCCAGATTCAGTTTTCTAATTCGAATTTATCATTATCTCTTCGGGAATGATTACCGAAATTACCCTTGAAGTTTGGCTTTTCTACAAAAATAGGCAAATTATTTTATGAAGATTTCCATCTACTCCTTTTAGGCATTGCAAAAACCCTCTTGAGCTAGTCTTTTTTTTTTTTTTTTTTTTT